AACACAGACACCCCACAAATCAAATTAAATAGAAACTGAAGAACCACTCTACTGCAAACCCCACCAGGTAACTCATGTGGAAAAAATTAGTGCTTTTTATAAAAATCCACATTCCACCTTTCAAACCCAATTCAAGATACACACGTTCCCCATAGACAAACGGCATGTGTGCGTGTACACACACTGTATATATTGATCTGCTGATACAGCCCCTAAGAGTGGAACCAGAGCTCTAGAGCCCATTTATTAGTGGCCCGTGCTTTGGGACTCACTGAGCTTTTTCAGTTGCACTCCACTGACATGCCCCAACGCCTTCATATACCCTTGTGAGTAGTTTGCACCTGAGAAAAAAAGAATTTTTTTTTTTTTTTTTTCCCTCCTGGAAGCTCTGTTCTTAACATGGTGGTTCCCAAACTGTCAGCAAATCACGGTCAGAACAGTAATATACTATACATTATTTATGTCCACTGGAGAGGATTTTCAAGTACAGGTCATTTGTAAGCATTTTCAGGTTTGCAAACAGCCTTCTTATCAAAAAGGGGGGGGTTTAAACTATTTCTTAAGAACAAAACATAAGAAGAACTCGAGAACAAATAATTCCCCAAGGCTCTAAGGAAAGTGAGAGGAATTGTCCTCTGAAACTCTAATATTTACGTTTGCTTCTTTCAAATACAAAGGAAGATTTCAGTGCCCATTAAAACAAAACAAAAAAACCCCGAACAAACAAAAAAAGACCATCAAAACCCCCTACTACTGCTTGTCACTTAGGGATTGAGGAAAAACTTCAGCAATGTCTTTCTTAAAAAAGAGTTCTGAGAGTTGGAAGATAACATTTAGTCACTTTTTTTTTGGGGGGGTGGGCATCACTCGATTCAAATGCTGCAATACGCCTAATGTAGCACATGGAAATCAAACACATTCTACTGAGAGGAAAGTTTGAATGACAGTGCTTATCAACAACAGGGTTTGACAGATGGGTAACAGTTAGTGCCACATGCTACATTTCTTGGTGGTGATGATGAACATACCTTCGGTACATGAACAAGATCGGGTTTTGGTACAGAAGCCACTCTGGAAGAAGAAAAACATACACATAGTCATAAAACCCAAGTTCTTTAATGTTTAAGCATTTCCCTCCTCCAACTCACCACATCCACCCACAGATAAATAAAATATTTCATTTCATTTCCTCTAAAGGAAAGAAGAAGTGTTCAAGTGAAACCTACAATGTTATTGTTAAGACAAGGAAAAGGCAAAACCAAACTGGATTACTTTATGCAGATACAATGTTAGGAACTCTAACATCTATCATCAAGTACTATTTGATTTATAAATTCATAATACCCTATCACCAGTTAGGAGACTTCAGTTCCAATTTGCTTATTGTTTTCCATCTTTTCATAAGAAACTATGTCATGTAACTCAAAAGGCCTGGTCAGATAAATTGCATTTTAAATCGCACATAATCTTTATTCAGGCTTGAAACAGAAAGCTTCCTTTTAGAACAACAACAAAAATCCTTGTGAAGGACTTAGCTAGTTAAGTAATACAGAAACTTTCTGCACAGCCTTTGCTCTTCAAAGGTAAGGTTAATGTCACTTGAACTCCACAGTAGGTGATAAAAAAGTTTCTTCCAAACAATGGGTGCATTGAAACCGCTGTGGGGTGGGGGGGAAGGAAAGGAAGTATTGCAATGGAAAGGATTAAGAAGATAAAGAATTGTCAGGTTTTCTTCTACCTAAAGTGAACTGGCAACACGTTATAGGTAAAGGCATCTCACTTGATTGTTTTTTTCAGATTTGCATATACTTATATGCAAAAATGCACACACACAACTTAAAAAACAAAAACAAAAACCCAAACAATTAAAAACCCAGCAAAAAATCTGACACACTAACATTTTGTCTGCAAGCATTGCTGCCGATACACTTGAGTCTCTTCATGCTGTTTTGGTAGAAAAGTGGCTTCTTGCCACATTTGAAAACATTTCTGGCCATATTTGGTAGCTGCTCGGATCATTAAGGATGCCAGCTTTTCTAAGAACCGGCAATCATATCCTGCCTGAAATCACACAACCGTGATTTCCGACAAATCTTCCAAATAGGATTTTGAAGAACCGAAGCCAAATTCTCATTTCCAAAAGATAACTTGCCAGGGAAGGCAAAAAGGTTCATTAACTGGAAATCAGTTAACAGGGGCTATAATTTAAAACAACTTTATTGTATAAACCACCTTTTCTATTTCTACCAGGAAAACAGGGAGAGATCGATTTGAATTAGGCACACTTGATCCATTTAACAACTCTTCTCTTTTTTATTTTCCCTTTTTTCCTTTTTTTTTTTTTTTGCTTTTCCTTTTTACTAATTACATTCAAAATCTTTACTCCTTCCCTCAAAGTCATTCGGCCCTCAGGGCTCCTCAGATTCTAACAGCAGCAATCCTGCTGCAGGTTCAGTAGCTAACATACAATATATGGAGATACATATAATCCATTCGCTACGTTGGCAGGAAAGGAGAAAAAAAAAAAACCCACACACACAAAAAGAAAAAAATAAACATTGCATGAGAAGATCATCTTCTGCACTTTGCCTTCACCATTTGTGCATCGCTGCCGACACACATTATGTCCACCTCAACAGCAATTCTCAACAGAGAGCGGGTTTTGTCCGCTCCCCTTTCCCACAGAGCGTGCAGCCTCTGAGCAGACCGACCTCCGGCCCTCCAAAGCGCGGGGGCACAGCATTAATCACTCCTAATTGTAGAGCTGTCAATTTGCAGCAACAAAAGCAACAAGGAAAAAAAAAATATGCCAATACAGAAGGAAACATGCATCTCGCTCCATATCTTAGGTATACATTTTTAATAAAGTAACTTGGCAAGTCTAGCGTATTTATTAAGCTGATCTAACAGTAAGAAGTAGAAAGACATTCATTATTCAACTCAACTACCATGTTTCATGCTTGAGAAAAACAAAAAAATCCTCTTTGCTAATGTTGGACCTTGAAGCTTCAGTCTCATAAGAAGAACATATTTAAATTCTTTTGGTTTTACAAAAGAATCAGATTTGAGTTTGCAATGGATGAGATTGTTCTGCATTCGTCAATACAGCACTGAGCCAAAATGATTTCAAACCACTATTTCCAGATGATCTGAAGACATACTCTTCAAAATTCATCTTCAAAAATATCATACAAAAAAGAAGAAAAAGAATTAAAGGGTGGGGAAAAAAGCTTGATAACTGAAATGTTCCCAATGTTCTTTTAATATTGAGTCACACAGCATAACATTACTTTATTTCCCCCAAACATACTTGAAACAAGGACATAAATTTGCGTGTCCCAGACATACTTCAAACAGTTTAACTTGGCCTTGTTGACTTCAAACCATAATCAGACTAAAATCTGTCATTTATCCCGTATCGTATAAAGAAAATGCTCTCCCAGTAAACTCAGCCACCAAGATCTGAATGTGAAAAATGCACGGTGGTTAGACAAGACAGTACAAAAGGAAATGCACGCTTCAAGCTGAAAAGCAAAACATGTCCAACACATCCATTTAAGAAAATACTTCCTTCAGGGCTATTTCCCTTAAGATTTTGATAGATATTACCAAATTGCATAGCAAAAAAAAAAAATAATTAAACTGCAAAACCTCGTACATTTTCTTAGCTGCTAGTACTTTGCTTGCCACCTAGCAATTAAACTTATTAGGATTTCATGCTGGTTTGGTCACGCTGAATGTATGAATAACTGATGATAAAGGCTTTCAAAATGAGATGACACACTTGCCCTGCTACTATTTACTAGAAAAGTAGGATGGCTCGAAGCAGGATATTTTCTGAATGATTTAAAGCTAGCAGTTCAATATATTAGTTTATGCAATATTTTCAGTAATACACAAACAAAGCAAAGACGTGAAAGTTCGATATAAATGCTTATTATAAACAACTCACACAAAAGACCTTCGCAAACAGTTACAGTTTCAAGCTTCACATGAATCATTACAGACAACAAAAATAGAAGCAGCAGCCATCACTTACTGACAGCCTAATACTGAAAATGAAAGTGCACAGAGTTTTTGCACAGGCTTCTACAAAGTCGTTTCTCTTTCAGGAAAAAAAAAGAAAAAAGCTATATTTAGCCTGTGTAAACAGTTCATTTCGACTAAACATGATCAAATTTTCTCTCTAAACATACCACAAGCCATTCCTCTCTGATGAAAACTTTCATGACGTTTAATGCAATTCAAAACATTCCAACTTCCAGTGCAGCCTTATTAGGAAAATAAATGTCTGCTCTTCGCTATAAGCAACATGCCCAGCAAAAACTATTCATTCTTTAAATTCTCCTTGTATTCATTCCCTTTCCAAGTGTTTCACCCGTTAAAAAAAAAAAAAAAAAGACACAAGCAATTCAACAGAACCCTTCTACAGTTACCGATACTTATTGGAAAAACCCATTATTAAAGCTAATGCTACAGTATTTCACGCTTCTGCAATAAGTACAATTTGATACATCATCTCCAAATCTCAACTAGCATCACAGAAGTAAATTCAGTGCAAAGCCGGACTTTTCTTGACAAGTCTCAGCTGTCCTGTGTGTACAACCACACAACAAAGGCCCAAACCCTCAGCCAATAAATCCCCAAAGCTTCATTGAACCTAAAATCCAAAAGACATTTCAGAGCCGTTTCTCCTCTGAACTCCATTTAAAGTCTCAGCATCCCCAGTCCTTCTGCCCCTTAGGAAAGGGACAACATCATACTCGTAACTTAAAAAGCAGATGTCAAACTAAAGGGAAATTTCACTAGAAGGTAACTGTGCTTATGAGCCCCTCTATAAACAAGGGGAGCACGCAATACCCGTAGGTACTGCATTTGAGGTTCTCCTGTCTCGGTAACTTAAAGGACTGCTCATAAACTCTGGTGTGAGATACAACAAGAAGTGGCAAGACCTTCATAGATTCATTTAGATTGGAAAAGATCTTTAAAATCATTGAGTCCAACCACAAACCTAACACTGCCAAGACCACCAAACAAAGTCAAGGATGGAAAATTTTCAACAAAATCGTACTTCTTGTTCTGAACTGAACCTTTCTAATAGGAGGAAGGAAGAAAGGAAGGATTTTCTCCCCACCTCTCATTTTCAGAACTAACTCCTTTCTCCTAGGTGATCAATCAGGATACAGGTTTTGGCAGCTATATCCCTGAAAAGCCACTGGTCAGATCTTCCTTCCAAAAATCTGATCTTTTGGCAGTTTTGCCACTGTAGTCTGCGGTTCTGTTGGTTTGCTTCATTTTATTTCTAGAGAGCAGTCAGCTGACAGGGTAGAAAGCTAAATGAATTTGCTTCTCATAAATTAGCCAACTCATGAAAAAAAGATGACAAGCAGAACACGTTTAACATATATAACAAGCCATGACTTTCACTAGGGGTTATCTGAAGAAAAACAAATGCAAATGTAATTTAAAGCATAGAAAAAAAGAACAATCCAAATATATTTCTTTCTTCCTTAGACCCAAGCCCCTTCTCTATCACACACATAATTCATTTCTTAGCAGCCTTGCTCCGGCTCACAACAATAGAAAAGCAAAAACATTCTTAAGTTTGCTTCTTGTTGCAACTTACGCACCATCAAGAAATGGTTGCCTTACAGACATTAATACGACATACAACTACGTTTCCCACAGTTTTGTGGAAGCATACACACTGCCCCGGGCAACACCAGTCGCTAAATCAGCGCTTCAGCAATCTTGCCAGGACAAGCACCTGTGGCCTTGAGACCGCAAACTTCTGCACATCCCAACCCATGGCAATGCAGAGGTAGCAAAATTGTCACTAAGTACTACTCAATGGGAAGCGGAATCTGTTGCAGTCATTGCAAAAAAGAGATAACTTTTTTTTTTCCATTAAGAAGCACCGCAACATTTTAAAATCTATACTCCAGTCATCGTGCTTGTTAATATCCCAACAGATGGCTGTCAACATTTTATTTCTTAAGTCATTCTCTTTGTCCTACTTTATTATGTTAGATCTCCTTTAGTTGAAGATACCAAATTATGACAAATAGAGG